CCCCAGAGGCCCCGCTTGCGGTCGCCCAGAGCACCGATTCGGGTTCGCGGCCCCGCCCCGCCCCGAGCGTCCGCGAGCAAATCCTCAGGCTGGCAAGGAGGAGAAAACAGAAACGAGGCACAGGAGAGGGAAGGAAGAGGAAACGCGGGGCAAGGAGGATTAGACTGGGATGTCGAAAAGACGAAAAGCAAGATAAGGAGGGAAAGGGTCGGCAGGGATGCTTGATGAGGATGGTTGTTGTGCCCCCGACGTGCACGCGCGTGCGAATGGCCTCTGCTAGGCCAAGACCTAGGCTCACAGCAAGGCGCGCGGGCCGCGCAGACGATATCGAAGGCGCGCGGCCAGCACGACGGAACACGGCGGGGCAATCGAGAACAGCCACCGCCACGAAACAACATAAAGAGCAGCCGTGCACAAGCCAGCATCTGCACATAAAAGCTCAACACACAAACCCATTGAAATAGAGTCCCCAGTGAACTTGCCGTTGGCAGTGTAACGAATGTGGATGGATGCCCGGGCCGTGCGTTTGGCGAGCTCGGCATCATCGAAGCATGATGTGCGGCGACGCAGTGGTCGCGCATGTGATCCGCGTCGAAAACGCGGTGGGTGTTATGGAACAGATGACGACCACCTGCCGTTGCGGCCGTGACGACTCACGGCGCCGGACGCTTGGCCGGAGGAGCTGGACCATGCGTGGACCGACGGCACGGCGCGTCCTGGCCGCGGCGGCGCTGGCGTGGCGGCGGCCTCCGCCGGCGCTGGCTCCGAGGTGGGGCGGCCTCGGCGCTGCCAGCTGCACCGCCCGCGGCGTCGACAGCGGCAGCTGGCGGCGCAGGGTGTCGCCCTCGACGGCAGCATCGACGCCTTCGTCCACGTGGCGGAGGCCGTCGAGGCGGCCGTCGGTGGCCTCGCGGCTGACTCCACCGCGCAATGAGGCCGCACTCCAGAAGGGCGGCGAGGGTGTACTGAAACCGCGTGGAGGGCCTGCGCCCCTCTGTCGACCGGCTGGGGTAGGGGGTGTTCTTTCGGCACGGTCTCCGTGGGCTGGGGCCCGAGGCCGTGCCCGCGGGGGGCATGTTTTTCGGCTTGTTCGTGCGATCCGCCGCGGCGGCGAGGCGGCCGGCCGTCCCAGCACCATGGCCATCGCCTCCTCCTCCTCCTCCTCCTCCTCCTCCTCCTCCTCCTCCTCCTCCTCCTCTTCCCTTCTCCTCTTCCCTCCTCCTCCTCCTCTTCCCTCCCTCTTTCCCCCTTCCCCCTCCTCCCCAGTCATACCTCCCACCTGCCTCCTTCCTCCACGTCGCGCTTTCGCGCTCTCCGCGCGTGCGAGAGCGTGCGCGAGGGGAAGAGGCTTCGTTCCCTTGTTATTTCGACCAGCCTCCTTGCCCCCGTCCCTCTTGGGCTTCTCCCACCCGATTGACCATCCAGATCCAATGTGCCGCCCACGCGTTGCACGCAGAGGCGAAACATTCCTGCTGCCGTGTTTGTCCATGGGGAGGTGGGCGGGTGCTGCACGACACTTGGAAATATGATCGAGAAGGAGAAGGACGAGGACGAGGGAGGAGGAGGAGGAGGAGGAGGAGGAGAATGAGGGCGTGAGCTTCGGGCCCAGAACCCCGCGGCACTGTGCCAGCCCAACGAGACCAGCCTCGAATGTAACATCGTCCCATCCGCTGTTACATCCATTTCCAAACCATACCCTTTTTTACATTGTTTGTCGGCCACACCCCCTTCCCCTCCGGACACCACGACTTCGTCGGCTAATCCAGCGTGGCACTGTCGGCTACGCGAACAGCGAGCACAAACTTCAGTACTGCTACGAGCCGCCGCTGCACGAGATCTCAGTGACCACAACATCCACAACCAACTACACAGCGCGCCAGCTCCACGCCACGCACCACAGCGCCCAGCAGCCACCTCGGCCTCCACTTCAAGCTCCAACCATGGCGACGTCATGGACAGTAACCGCGAGCGGATCGGGATCGGCGCAACCACTGTGGAGATCAGCATCGAGCCGCCCACGATCCAGAGCTACATCACCGAGGCTCGCTACATCAGCCATCGGTGCAGGACTGGAGCGCTCGAAGAAACGCGACTGGATGGACCACTGGGCCGACAATCACCTGAACAAGGGCTGTAGCCAGAACGCCAACGGGAAGGGCAAATACCAGGACGGCAGGGGCAGGAACGACCATCAGGATCTTCAACTACCAGAAGGACAGAGGCAGTAACCACAGGGGAATACGGCAAGACCCAACCCGACAAGGGAAATAAGCACAACAAGAAAGGTGACGGACGGAGCTACAACAACAACAACAACAACAACAACAACAACAACAACAGCACAGCAATTGTTTAAGACAGTGTGTTCTCATTTGACCGCGTGCACGCAACACATCTATCCCAAACCCTCGATACCCGCCCTCTTTGTCTTCGACCGTACCCCCTCGCGGGTAGATCTTCCTTACCTGCCTCCCACATTTAGCACAGCCCCTAAAGCAGGGGAAAGAAGGACGGACGGGGGAAGATAAGGATTGACCATCGCGAGGAAGCATCGAGCGCTTGGAGCCGTTGTGGGCTGGGGCCTCTATGGGCTGCGTCGGGGGTCTCAGTGGGCAGCACGTTGGGGCCTCTGTGGGCGCGCTTGGGGCCTCTGCGGGCTAAGGCCTCTGTGGGCGCGTTTGGGGCCTCTTTGGGCTGCGTCGGGGGCCTCAGTGGGCAGCGCGCGGGGGCCTTCGGGCGCGCTCGGGGCCTCTGCGGGCCGGGGCCTCTGTGGGCGCCCTTGAGGCCTCTGTGGGTTGTGTCGGTCCTCTGTGGGCCGGGGCCTCTGTGGGCTGCGCTGGGGGCTTCAGTGGTCAGCGCGCTGACGCTTCTGTGGGCGCGCTTGGGGCCTCTGCGGACGCGCTTGGGGCCCCTGTGGACGCGCTTGGGGCCTCTGTGGGCCGTGTCGGAGGGCCTCAGTGGGCAGCGCGCCGGGGCCTCCGTGGGCTCGCTTGGCGACTCTGTGGGCTGTGGCCATGGTGGGCGCGCGTGAGGCCTCTGTGGGCGTTGTCGGGGGCCTCAGTGGGCAGGCGCGCTTGAGCCTCCGTGGGCACGCTTAGGGCCTTTCTGGGCTGTGTCGGGGGCCTCAGCGGGCGCGCTTCTTGGGGCCTCTGTGGGCTGTGCCGGAGGGCCTCAGTGGGCACCGCGCGGGGGCCTTGGCGCGCTTGGGGGTTTCTGAAGGAAGTCCACGCCTCAGTGGGCAGCGCGCCAGGGCCTACGTGGGCACGCTCGGGGCCTCTGTGGGCTGTGCGGGGGCCTCAATGGGCAGCGCACTGGGGCCTCTGTGGGCGCGCTTGGGGCCTCTGCGGGCTGGGGCCTCTGTGGGCGCGCTTGGGCCCTCTGTGGGCAGCGCCGGAGGGCCTCAATGGGCAGCGCGCGGGGGCCTCTGTGGGCGCGCTCGGGCCTCTGTGGGCTGGGGCCTCTGTGGGCTGTGTCGGGGGCCTCTGTGGAACGTAGGGCCTCCGTGGGCAGCGTGTTGGGGCCCCCGTGGGCACGCTTGTGGCGGGGGGTTGGGCTTCTGGTGGGCTGTGCCAGAGGGTCTCATTGGACAGCGCGCTGTGGTCTGTGGGCGCGCTTGGGGCCTTTGTGGGCTGGAGCCTCTGTGGGTTGTGTCGGGGGCCTCAGTGGGCAGGCGCGCTTGGGGCCTCTGTGGGCAGCGCGGGGGAGCCTCTGTGGGCGCGCTTGGCGCCTATGTAGGTTGTGCCAGAGGGCTTGCGGTCAGCATGCTACGGTCTTTGTGGGCTTACTCTGGGCCTCAGTGGGTTGTGTGGTGGGGGCCTCAGTGGGCAGCGCGCCAGATTCTCGGTGGGCAAGGGCCTCTGCGAGTACATCTTGAGGAAGTATCGAATGGGAGCCCGTGTCGTCGCATATGGGCCTCCACCAATTTGACTGGATCATGAAGAACTCTCTAGCGAGAGCGCCGTTCCTGAGTTCGGGGGCCTTCCTGGCCAGGGGCTCTCGGAGTAAATCGTGAGGAAGTATCGAGCAAGAGCCTTTGTCGTCGTGGCTGGGCCCCCGCCAACGTGATTGAATTTCGAGGAAGTCTCGAGCGAAAGCGCCGTTCCTGAGTTCTGAGGCCTCTCTGGCCAGGGTGTTCCGAAGTAAATTGTGAGAAAGTATCGAGCGGGAGCCGTTGTTGTCGTAGCTGGGCCTCCAGGGGCGCATTTTTAGGGTCAAGCCAACACTCGAGCGGGAGCCTCGTTTTCAGAGAAATGTAACCGGCGTCGGAGATCTACAATAATCATTTTTTAGAAATGAGTATTCAACGACTACAACAACCACCACAACAACAACAGCAACAACGAGCGCGTCGCCAACACGATCAACAACGTCATGGCCATGAGGAAAATCGACGCTTTTAGGAGGCACGACTGGAAGCTACTTCCCAACGACCACAAGCTGAGGGACACATATAATAAGATTGAACACATTGAGGAGCGAAGAGCGGCAGAGCCATCGTCGAAAACAGCGAAGCAGGCTTACCTACTACCGACACCGTCGCACCCATCGCCTTCATCAGAGCGATGGTCCTGAACAGCATGGGGAGTCCTGGAGCATACCCCGGCAGAGAGCGACGACGGGCCGTAGCCCGGAGGGGGGGATGCCGGACGGGGCTATAGGATGAGGATGCATCCGTTCCAGTGCGTTCTCGAACGTTCTCAAAGCGTTCCAGAACGCTCTGGGAAGGCCCCAGCGCCCAGGACATCCTCCAGAGCCGCCAGATCTCAAAGATTCCTCGATTCATCTTCATCCGATGTCATGCTCGTCCTGGCTTCGTCTCAGATGGCAGGCGGAGGAGCAGAAGGGGGGCGACGATGACGAGGGGGGCGAGGACGACGAAGACGTCGACGACGAGGACGGCGAGGAGGGCGGCGACGACCACGGGCGGCGAGGGCGAAGGGCGTGGACGCGAGGGGCGACCTCGTCGACGACAGCGGCGACGGGCCGTCGCCCGAGCGGAGGACTTCCCTCTCCCGGACGACCCGCCGAGGGCGCCCCTGCAGATCCCCGCGTGGCGGCAAGAGTTCAACAAGGCCGCCGGGAGGAGGAGGAGGAGGAGGAGGAGGAGGAGGAGGAGGAGGAGGAGGAAGAAAAAAAGGAGGAGGGAAATGAGAAAAGGGAGGAGGAGGAGGAGGAGGAGGAGGACCAGTGTAAACCCAAGGGCCATCAACGATGTTGGAATAACCCTCCCTCCAAGCTCCCTCTTCATAGGCCCCTGCAGCGGTCCATTCCCATTGAGGGAACTGCCTCGTTGGAAGACAACCGTTTGAAGACCTTGAAGCGTACCGAACCATTGTTCTCGGGATTTCAACGCCACGGATCAACCTGACTGCTGCGTCCTGACGATCCGGAACCGCGGGACTTCAACACCGCGAATCAACAGAGCTGTTGCACTCGTATAATTCTGAATCCCTCCAAATCACAAATTGTGCTACGCTGATCGTGGGAACCCGTGAAACTCCTACAATTTGTTTAAGAGAATGTGCGCGGCGTTAGAGCGAGAGGCACGCTTTGACAAGAAGCCGCCCGCAATCCGTGAAGGCGCTACGGCGAGAGCCACAGTTTGGAAACGGCCCGCCCTCAATCCGTGAAGCTCTTACAAATGTTATAACCAATGTGCGCGGCGCTAAGGCGATAACCACCTTTTGAAAATATACCGCCCTCGATCTGTGAAACTGTTGCAAAACGAATTTGCGCGGCGCTAAGGCAAGGCCACATTTTGAAAACCACCCGCCCTCAATCCGTGAAACTCTTGAAATGTTTGAAACGAATGGGCGCGGCGCTAAGGCGAGCATCACATTTTGAAAACGGCCCGCCCTCAATCCGTGAAACTCTTGCAAATGTTCAAAACGAATGTGTGCCGCGCTACTTAAGACAGGAGCCACATTTTGGAAACCACCCGCCTCTCTCACTGTGAAACTGTTGCCACGTTTTCAGCTTCAGAGTCGTGAGTGGTGAGGAAGTCTCAGGCGAAACGCCCGGTCAGCGACAGGGACAAGTTCTGTATTAGGAAAAAGAGAGGAGGAGGAGGAGGAGGAGGAGGAGGAGGAGGAGAAGGAGGAGGAGGAGGAGGAGGAGGAAGTGGAGGAGGAGGAGGAGGAGGAGGAGGATCAGCGGAAGGTCGTTTGAGACATTGGTGGTTGACCTTCGGGGAGCCCCTCGTCGCAACGGCTTGACGCAGTCCTGATAATTTGTGCGTTTGGACCCCGGGAAAGGGTCTGGGGAACGATGTTGAGCCGATCTTGAGTTTGCAGTGTCTCTATTCTCCCTTCCCCGACAGGAGGGAGGAGGAGGGGGAGGAGGAGGAAGAGGAGGAGGAGGAGGAGAATGAGGAGGAGGAGGAGGAGGAGGAGTAAGGGGAGGGGGAACACGAGTGATACTCGTTGCCGAGCTTGCCACATGAGGTTAGGCGCGGGGGGCTCGGGCGTTGCTCGGCGCTGACGGTCGGCAGCCCCATCGCTGTGGTGCCTGACGCCTTCCCAGCGGTCGGCACAGAGTTCAGAGGGGGAGTGGGCGCCCAGACATCCTTGGCTCTCGCAGAAAGGGTGGGATGCTAGTCTTTCGGGGCCTCACATGTGTCGTATGTGCTGGGCCAGGTGGGGGGTCAGGGTGTTTGGGCGAGGAATTCTGGGGCTTGGGGGTCCCAAGAAGAGAGTTCCAGGGGGTGGGGATGCTGGGGCTGGGTGGGGGCCCATGGCGGTCTCGGAGCCCATCTTGGAGACCGTTGCTCCGAATGTTAGTTCGCCTTCCTCCTGTCGGGGCCATATTGTGGGCTTCTTGGGCCCCTCTCGGGGGATTGGAAGCCGCATTGGGGCGATCTCAAGACAGAAAAGGAAGAGCGCGCCCGCAGCGCCGGGAATATGGAAAGGGGGCCCCGGCTTCAAGCTACCTCCCCCCCCCTTCCAAAAGGGGGGGGGAGCTTCCCCCCTCCCTTCTGTATGGGTTTCTAAGCTAGGGGGGGCCCTGGCTAAAGGGGAAGAGGGCTTCGAAGCTATCCCCCCCTCCCTCCCTTTTCCGGAGCAGAAGGTGAGCCCCGGCTTCCCTTTCAAAGGGGGGGGCTTCGGAAGCTACGCCCCCCCCTCCTTCCTTTCTTGGTCTGGACAAAGGGGGGGGGGCGGCTTCAAGCTACCCCCGTCCCCCCTGCTTTGCAAAGGGAGGGGGGGGCTTCCGAAGCTACCTCCCTTCCCCTCTCTTCCGGGGCTCTAGCAAAATGCCGGACGGATTCCCTGACGACAGGTGCGCACCGCAGCGCTGGAGAACGCACTGGAGAATAACGTCGACCCCTGGTTCGTTTTCTTGTTTTATTGTTTTCTCGGCCCCTGGTTCGTAGTCTCGTTTTCTCGGGCCCTGATTCCTTGTATCGTTTTCTCATTTTCTCGGCCCCTGAGTCGTTTTCTTGTTTTCTCGTGTTTTCGGCTCCTGGGTCGCGATCTCGTCTTCTCGGCGCCTGGGTCGTGGTCTCGTGTTCTCGGACCCTGCTTCGTTTTCTCGTTTTCTCGGCCCCTGGGTCGCGGTCTCGTTTTCTCGAACCAAGCGTTTTCTCGGCCCTTGGGTCGTGGTTTGCTCGGACTTTGGTTCGGTGTCTCGTTTTCTTGTTTTCTCGGCCCCTGGGTCGTGGGTCGTTTTCGCGTTTTCTCATGTCCTCGGCCCCTGGGTCGTGGTCTCGTTTTCTCAGGGCCTGGTTCGTTTTCTCTTTCTGTTCAGTTTTTTGTTTTCTCGGCCCCTGGGTCGTGGGTCGTTTTCGCGTTTCCTCATGTCCTCGTCCCCTGGGTCGTGGTCCCGTGTTCTGAGGGCCGGGTTCGTTTTCTCGTTTTTTGTTGTTAGTTTTGTTGTTTCGGCCTATGGGTCGTGGTCTCGCTTTCTCTGTTCTGGTTCGTTGTTTTAGTTGTCTTATTTTCTCGGTCCCTGGTTCGTGGTCTCGTTTTCTCGGGCCCTGGTTCGGTTGCGCGTTTTCTGTGTCCATGGGTCGTGGTCTCGTTTGCTCGGACTTTGGTTCGTTTTATCGTTTTTTCGTGTTCTCGGCCCCTGGGTCGTGCTCTCGTTTTCTCGGACCCTGGTCCGTTGTTTCGTTTTCTCGTTTTCTCGGCTTTTTTGTTTGTGTAGTTTGTTCGGGCCTTGGTTCGTGATCTCGTTTTCTTGTTTTGTCGGCCCCTGGGTCGTGGTGTCATTTTTCCTCGGACCCTTGTTAGTTTTCGCGTTTCCTCGTGTTCTCGGCCCCTGGGTCGTAGTCTCGTTTTCTCTGACTCTGGTTCGTTTTCTTGTTTTCTCGGCCCCTGGATCGTGGTCCCGTTTTCTCTGACCCTGATTCGGTTTCTCGTGTTCTCCGTTTCTCGGCCCCTGGATTGTGGTTGTATTTTCTCTGGCTCTGGTTCGTTTTCTCGTTTTCTCGGCCCCTTGGTCGTGGTCTCGTTTTCTCTGGCCCCGATTCGTTGTCTTGTTTTCTCGTTGTCTCGGCCCCTGGGTCGTGGTCTCGGCGTCTCGGGGCCTGGTGCGTTTTTCCTTTTTTTTGTTGTCTCGGCCCCTGGGTCGTGGTCTCGTTGTCTCGATCCCTGGTTCGTTGTATTGTTGTTCTCGTTTTCTCGGCCCCTGGGTCGTGGTCTCGTTTCCTCTGACCCTGATTCGTTGTCTTGTTTGCTTGTTGTATGGTTCCCTGGGTCGTGGTCTCGTTTGCTCGGACTTTGGTGCGGTTTCTCGTTTTCTCGTGTTCTCGGCCCCTGGGTCGTGGCCCAGTTTTCTCGGACCCTAGTTTGTTTTCGCGTTTTCTCTGCCCCTGGGTCGTGGTCTCGTTTTCTCGGACCCTAGTTTGTTGTTTTGGACCCTAGTTCGTTTTCTCGTTTTCTCGGCCCCCGGGCCGTGGCCTCGTTTTCTCGGACCGTGCTTCGTTTCCTCGTTTTCTCAGCCCCTGGGTCGTGGTCTCGTTTTCTCTGACTCTGGGTCGTCGTCGTCGTCGGTCGTCGGTCGCGCGTCGTCCGTCGTCCGTCGCCGTCTTCGCATGACCTCGTCCTCGTCGTGACGACCACGACGAGGTCATGCGAAGACGGCGACAATGACGGCGACGGCGGCGACAACGACGACGAGGACGACGACGGCGTCGCACGAAGACGTCGAGCGACGGCGACGGCAACGACGACGGCGACGGGGGAGGATCGTCCGGCAGGGGGGGTTCAAGGGAGGGGGGTGGTAGCTAAGCCGCCCCTTCCCTTTTGGAAAGGGAGGGGAGGTAGCTTCCGGCAGAGGGGGAGAACAATTGGAGGAGGCTTCCGCATGGGGGGGGTAAAAGGAGGGGGCGTAGCTAAGCACCCCTTCCCCCACTTGTCGTAAGGGGGGATGCCTCCTAGAGGGGACTAGCTTCCGAGTGCCGAAACGGGGGGGGTGTGCTAAGCCCCCCACCTTGGAACCGAAGCGGGGAAGGGGGAGGTAGGCTTCCGGCTGAGGGGGGTCAAGGGGAGGGGGTGTTAGTAAAGCACCCCCTCCATTTCGTTAGGGGGGGAGGGGGGGGTAGCTTCCCGGGTGCCGAAGGGGGGGGGCTGCTCAGCCCCCCCCCCCCCTTGGAACCAAAGGGGGGAGGGGGGGTAGCTTCCGGCAGAGGGGGGTCAAGGGGAAGGGGGGAGTGGCTAAGCCCCCCCCCTCCCTTTGGAAAGGGGGGGAGGGGGGGGTAGCTTCGGAGTGGCGAAAGGGGGGGAGGGGGGGGGGAGCTTCCGGGGGGAGGCGAAAAAGGGGGGAGGCGAACAAGGGGGGGAGGGGAGGGGGAGCTTCCAGCAGGGGAGATGGAAGGGAGGGGAGGGGGTAGCTCAGGGGGGACGACCCCCCCCTTTGCTCAGGCGCTGTGGGCGCGCTCTCTCACAGAAAAGCCCGAAGGCCCAAAGGATACCATCACTCATAACGTGTTATGTTTCATTGGTTTTGGCCTCTCAGGGCGGCTTCCAGGGCCTCCAAGACGGCTCAGGGGCCAAGGCTCTGGAACCAGAAAAATATGACGATCCTCCTTCTTGACGTTTCTGATACCCTTGAGGTGCGCGCGCGCGAGTCCCAGA